AAACTTTTTGAACATCGGAAGAAAATGAACAGTTTTACCAACAATAGTAGTAAACTGTTAGTAAAATCAAAGCTATTTAGCATAAAGATTGTTGTATGAATATGTGGTTATACTCATAAACCCACATAGGTTCGTATCTCGGACACAATGTAGGAACGGTTCCAAGAAACAAACACGTTGCTAATGCCGACTACGACTGCAGTCACTAAGTTATTCACTATTCAGTTATGACAAACAGGACGTGAATGTATGGGCTCGGTAAGGGTCGTGGCCCAATGGGCGTAGTTTTAAACATCCATTTTTAATATACTGATTGGTAAAAATGATTTAAAAGACTTAGAAAGAAGAACGGTACATATGTGCTCTGTGTTAAATTTTATTTTATTTGATGTGCCGACGTTTGGACTGTATCTCGGCTGGTGGTAAGCGTTGATGCGGTAAAGTAAAACTTTGAAGAAAAGAGTAAACTCCTTAATAATTGACTGGTAATTCATCTTGGAAATCGTTTGGTGTCGTGGGTGACCCTTAAGGGCATTTACCATCAGGCGATTACGTGTTCTCGTTCACCACGTTTTCCTTAAAAACTTACCTTACTTACCATTCAATATAAAGTATTTGTGATGAAATGTTTATTTTATCAAAGACACTCGGTGTCTCCTCAAGCAATATGATTGTTTATCGAGAATACAATAACCACTTGATTATTTCAAAACTGCCTACATAAAGGGCTTCTTTAAATAAAATCCGTGTTAAAGCAAATGACATTAGCATAACGTGGGAATATGGTGGGTGTTATTAAATGACCTAACAGGGAATACAACACAAATTGGATTTCTATTTATTTATCTTTCAGAGAAAATTGCACTCCTTATAGGCATATAGATTCATGAACATTTGTATTGACTGCTATTGGTTATTGAAAAGTTTCATTCATATTCGTTCATTAATCAGTACTCATTGCAAAGTTTCCTTCAAAATTCTATTAAGTTTTTACTGTTAAAATAAGCTAGCTTAATGTTATTGCTATTGGGGATTGTTCTAGAGGAAACCAATTAGCTAAATATAAATTTATGGTTATTATTGCATTCGTTTTTTTGGCCTTGAATACACAATACGATACGATACACAACGACTTTGTACTGGTAAAAATACTTCGAATAAAATGATACCCTACGTATACTTACTTATTGGTGATTGAAACTGTAACATTATGTACTGTAGTAAATATTTATTACAAAGCAGCATCAATTTTGCCACACGAATCAATTCACAGCGTCCTTAAACAATCATTAACATTGTAATGCTTTTCATTTGACTGCGAGCGGCCATTAAATGGGAAATGGCTAACAATTTTGCGCACGAAGTAAAGTTTTCTCACCTGCGCGTGCGCAGTTACTAGCTTGTTATAAAAGCTCTCTCAGTGTGTACAGCGCTTACAATACCTATGCTAATTGCTTTTGAAATATCAGCCCACAGTAAGACAAGCACACACGAGCCATCTCGGCTTTATTTAACTAGAGAGGTTCCATCTAGAGGTAAAGTGCACAAACAATTTCAAGTCACCGCACGCTTTTGTCGCAAGAACCAGCGGAATGTTTGTAAGCAACAGGCGACGCGACGTCATAAATGGAGAATAATCTATTTTGTCGTAAAACACTTAATAAGTCATAAGGAATTTATGTTCGGTTTTTGTTACGTTTAAAGTACCTGGTTGAGGTCTCTTTGTATTTATTATGCTGTTGTCGTAGAAGTGGTGTGGAAATCTGCAGATAAATCATAAGCAATTTTAGTGTACTTCCCTAGAATCACTGAATCAATAATATTAAGTACTACTTAACGATTGTTTTTATACGTCTACATAAACTTCTTTGATTAAACTGAAAGTTATTCGATTTTTAAGAGATTTTAAAGATTTTCTAGAGTTCAAGAATCGACTTTCGTTATTCTAACATATTATTCAAATTAAAATAGAAATTAACGTTATGTTTCGTCTTGTTACAGATCACTAGTGCTACTGCTTTCCGTGTCGGCTACCTTCGCCGCGCCGTCACCAGCTTCCAGCCAGCTCAGATAACAATGTGGACAAGACGGAGCCCTCAACACATGAGCTGCTCAGTTCTCTCGGCTTGAAAAAGCTGAGGATACCTGCAGCTCACCACAGGAAACGGCTCGCTGAACAAGGAAGAAGGCACGCTACTGGCGACTCAAGGATGTACGTCATCAAACTGCCTCCGAACACGAGCTACTACAGCCACGCGGAGCCAGCTCCAGCCGCCGCAAGGACCCTGCCACTACAAATGACCAGTAATGGCAAACCAGCCCGCGTCTATCATTGGAACATTCCAGTACTACAGAAGTTCGCGAAAAACCGACCACAGGCGAGGTTTGACGATGATATAGTGGACGTCGAGAGCACGCCAACATGGCCCAAAGCCATTAGTCATCCGAACTCGCTTGACGCCTTAGCGTATTATGTGCCAGCAAAGAAAACCTCTTTCAGAAAATATTTCTCCGGCAATGGCAAACCTAAATCCTTCTACATAATCGAGAAGAATAAGAAATCTGCCGAGTATCATAAATTACTGCCTTAATCGGATTACCTGTACGTTGCCGGTAGATATAAAAGTGAATACATGCCTATACAATCAATTGAGTAAGTCTCAGAGTCCATCGCCGACCAAAATATCGGATCAAAATTATTTATTTTATCCTTCTTCAAATTATCTGTCATTATTGACGATGTAATCAAAATTTTAATTATATGCAATTATTTGAATTAATTGATTTGTTCGAGTATGGAAGGATTTAAATTATTTATAACTTATAGTTTTTAAGATTACATAGAGCTAAGCTCTGCAGTCTTACTTTCGATGCTGATTCGATTTGCGTCTAAATTAGGTACATCAATACCCTTTGAAGCTATCGTTTCAGCATTGACAATAATTTCCATATTGAGTCATTCCGCTAAGAAGACAACTAGTTCAAACATATTGTATACATCTTAGTCACTCGACATAGTTGGTTGAGGTGCTCAATCATCGAATGTACACTATGTGACGTTACATTTAGACGACACTGCATTGTATTGGTTTCACAATACGTGCGATTATTGAGTGTCTGGAAACTGAAAACATACTGATGAATTTTCTGGACGCAGAGTCAATTGTAAATCCATCTGGGGCCGCCACCATGGGTACTTACCTGTATTTCAAGTTACTCGATTATCATTAACACCCACAACTATTGCATAATGACTGTGAGAACCTTAGGTGAGTTTAAAATGAGATAAATATCCATGGTAGAGTTCCCGATTCCTGATTTGTGTATAACAAATAATAGTTTGGAGGCTATAGTTATAGCAGTGAGTACCCTTAACATATCCCAGTGTACGAGTAGTGTTATCTTGTAAACTGCATTGTATATAAATGGGCCAGCTTCCGCAATCTAGTGTTAGGTAATATAGGTGCTTAGATATGGTATTAAGACTGCATCACGAATTTAAATTATTATCTAGATTTACGTCTACTGCATTTACTTACAGCTAAGTAATAATTCACTCAATGATTTATGGTCTGTTCAACAAACACATGTTACATAATTTAACAATTAACTATATAGGTACAGTAATTTGGCGAACAAAATACTATGGCACTAATTCCTACATTTAAAATTTTCATTTAAGTTTTAACCTTACGGTGTTTATGTTCTCCATGTGTATTTTAAACGTCATGAACAATTAAACTCAATACTAATTCATACTTATAAGTTTCTGCATTTATAAATCTAAGACATTAACGTCCAAGTTTAGGGATCTATTATAAAACTAAACTTAAAATCACTTGTATGTAAGCCAATGCTAATTCTAGATTTTGCACCTAGTTTTATTGTATTGAAGTACTATAATATGATTAATTCTACTAATGATGTAATTAGGCCAAGGCGAAGCCATTGCTTTAACCGTTTAGTCTTTTAAGTTGTTATTTTAGATATAAGCATAATTATTTTGTACAACATACCTACTTAATGTAAAACTAGAACAATAAAATATTTTAAATGATTATTTTGTCTAAGTTCTTTATTTACTTAAAACAAGGAAGGTCCAAGAAAGATACCTTGTGGTACTCCAAAAAAATGTTCTCGGATGTTAAAGAGATGTGAATGTTCTGAGAATTACGCCGTATTATGTCGTCTGATAGTTCCACACTTCAACCATTGTAAAACATAATTACATAAATGACATTTCGAGCAATTAACTTCATTCCTCGTTTGACACTGAGAGTGGAGCCACATTTTCCCACATCCATATTAGTGAAGCGTGCAAGTATTTTGATGTGAACAAAAATCATCTCAAAAAGGTAAGTTTATTTGTATGGAAGCTTACCGCAGAATACTAAACGGAGAGGTTTTGACAAATGGTAATACGTCCGTCACGTTATTTTTACAGGAATACTTATGTGTTTGTCTAGGTTCTGATTAAACTGTTTGAAAAATCAATGAATTAATTGAATCTGTGACTAATTTTGCTGTGAAAGAGTAACATAAAGGACCAGTAACATTGTTAGGCCCTAGGTGATGCGATTATTGCCTTGTTATCTAAGAAACTTTTATTACTTAGTTCTTCTTTTTATTATAATGCTGCTGGTATCTGCCCTTCTGGTGACTTTTTAAATCAAAGCTTTTAATAGCACAAGCCACAATAGGTAACCGGTACAACTTGTTTTCTTTAAAAGTTCATTAGCAAGCGAAGTTAATTTTGCTGTTACGGCAGTCATAATTTCTTAGCATATTTGCTACGAACAAAAAAGTTGTAGACAGCGCCATCTAACATTCATATAGGAAACTATACAGATGTATGTGTCAAATGCACAGAACACTAAGAACTTGACTAATTCGCAAGTTCTACAAATGGCCGCCAGAGGTCGCAACCGTCATGCTGTTTTACCGACACGGAATGTCACCACATGCGCGGCAGGCTGCGCGATTTATAAAAATCGTACCAAATGCTATCCGGCACAAATCCATACTCGCCCATTGTAAAAATGTCAGCTGCATCTGCGAGCAGCTCCGGTAGTAAAATGAAAAATGTGGAAAATGATAACAGTAGTAAACGGACAGTTGGCAGTGTGAAAAAGAAAAGTTCTGGTGATAAAAATAAAAAGAGCGATTCTATTGCAAGCAGTACAATTATCAAAGTAAAAAGTGTGATTCCTAAACGACGGTAAGCTATATTATTTATTTAGTGGCTTCAGTGAAATGAGCTTTAACTGGCTGCGGTTTACCTGGCATAGTGACCTATTTACTAGACTTATTTAATTTTCATAAGAGAAAAGTTATATTTGTGAGCATGTTTGTGTTACTACACCCTTAATGAGGAGCATGCAACCGCAGACGTGTTCCAGTTTTCTGGATATAATTAACAAGCGCGCTAAAAATATCCGGCAATACAAATAGAGCATTGCATTGTATAGTTTTAGACTGAAAGTTTATGTTATTTATTTTCCCGCCAATTGTTTATTTTCTTAGGCGTTTCGGGCAAATTAAACTCTCGGCTGAACTTTGCCGGCAGACAAGGAGTTCAACGAATTTTTATCTTATAGATAAGGGCTAGAATTTAGCAACTAAAATATTGAATTGATAAATGTTTTGATAAGGAAGTGTTTACGGTGAATTAGTTTCCGTTTACAAAGTGTTACTTTACTAGATTAGGTGATGATGTGGAAGACAGGTGCCCCTACAGAATACCTTTCTGATTAGGTATTTTTTAGGTGTTAGTGTACCGAACTTACTTATGTAGTTTCGTCAGGCAGTCAAAGAATAAAATTAATATCCAATCTAAAACGATAGTTTGTTTTGCTACGTAAGTAAATTTAATAAAATTTCGGTCTATTTAACGTACGATATATTATGGGACATTAATAGAAGAAAACCTATTTATGTTAATGCAATGTGTTCTATTTTTCTACAGGCAATATATTTAAAAAAAATAGTATTTAATTAAAATGCAGTTTACGCCAACCACCGTAGGCCGTGACGCGATTTCGCATATTCGTGTGAGGTTAACTTTAACTACGAGTTAAACTATTTATGCTTGTTAAGTATTAGTACTAACTTTTAATATAGATAGATTATTAAATTCTTTAATCCAATTATGTAACAAATATAGATTAATGTAGATTATCTCACATAAACGAGACAGCCCGGTTGGGGTAGCCGGGTAACCGAATGCTACGCGATGTATAACATTGTTACGCACAGAACAATGTTACACAATAACATTTTTGTGTTCTACAAATCTTATATTCCCTATGTAAAATTGTAAACAATAACTGTATCTTTGTAAATACTACCCTGGAGAAAATCATAGCGAAGGGTAAAGTTTACGCATTCGCACGCTGTGGACACACCATAGCGATAGATCACGCAGTTGAACCAAACGGAGACGAGTTGACAACTATTACAATATACAAGTAGAATTGCCTATTGACAATAGTACTATTCAAAGTAGACCTACCTACCTAAAGGTACTTATCGCACAATATGTTAGTTCAATATCTTATCCTTGAGTTTCCATTTGCAAATGTTGTGTATTAACTCACATTTACTAATGGGTTACCTCCTTTACTTATAATAAATACATAATGGAACAAATGTTGTAAGTATTTAAAATATGATCGAAAATGGCAAAGAAATTTTTGTAAACTGAAAACAACTTATTAATGTCTATAAAATATCCTTATCAACGTGGATTTGTTGAGGGGTCGTAAATGCAATTGCCGATTATGATTAGTAGGCACGAGGTCTCAGGTAAATTACCGGGTCGAATAAAACTTTTCAGAAATCGATGAAGTCTGAAGTTACTTGCGACCCGTGTTCAGATATTACTTTGGCGGCATGTTTACTGGTAGCTGATTGGCCATTGTCAATCGAATTGTTTCCTAAAGAATAACTACACGTGTATAAGATTATGTAGATTTAATTAAATATAAAAATGGCGATATTGCCACGAGGACTACAGTCGCAAAAAAGCGTATTGACAGATATTGAACGCAGAACATGTAAAAGAGGATTATTTAACAATGTTCAAAGTGAAAATACGTGTCAGTCATGTACCTACCAAGATCACAATCCATGTTGTTTATGATTAAGATTGATAATTACATCATAAGACGTATTTGCAGGCTCCATGACAAGCTGCCTTGGCCGAATAATTTGGCAATCAAAATTTAAAACTAAAACCGTCATAGTCCATGGTTAACAGGTTTTCTGCACAGTCCCGTTGTTAGTGGAATCGCAACTATTTACGTTAGATTTATTAAACAAGTTATGTTTTATGTCACATAAATATAAATAATATGTTAATCTCTTCTACCTTAGCCAAAAATGTTGTATTGAGCATTTACCATGGCACGCCTTCAAACTTAATATTCAGCTCGTCTCAATTAACCATTACTAGGCCCTGTAAATATCGTCACTTTACCGTTTACATAATTTACTTCAATCCCACCTTTTTTGAGGTCGATTTATTAATAGACTAAACCTTTTCCAAAAACCGCATCAAAATCGGTTCTATCAATCGCGAGATAATCGCACACAAACATACATACAGGTAAAACTGAGAACCTCCTTCTATTTTGAAGTCGGTTAAAAACTACAATTTTTTAAAGGGGTAATAAAGTATTAGTATCTACTTAGATAGTGTATTATGTTTATACTTATAAATAAACATATTAATTGATCTATAAAATCCTTCATAATATCATACGAATTCATTATTTACGTTAAGTTTTCAAATATACTACATTGTGCACTTAATTTACACCTAATATACATACATTACATAATATGTATTCAGAAATAAACTTAAACGTTTAATGAAAATAAGATTGTAACAGTTATTACAGAACTGTTAAAAGCTTTTGATATGCTGCAGTATTTAATTAATTTAATTATATGCATAACATGGAAAACAATTAAAAACTAAGTTAACAGTAAAAGATTCGAAAAACTGTACGAGTTCGGAAAACTGTACGAGTGTCGAGTATCTCCACTGCTACATTTTGTAAGGTCATCTAAAAATATATGTGGGTGTCTCACAAGGACCTATAATTGGACCTAATTATTCCTATTCATTTTATAGGGAACAAATTATAATTTGTTTCGTTTATTTCATTGTGTTGTGTGAATCATAATGATTGCTTGTACATATGTGTATTACAAAATATTAAGTCTTTTATTCCTGTAGGTACACTAAAGCAAAAGTGCACAATATGCAACGTAACATTGAGAAAAGTGTGCATAGTTTTCATAGCAATATGAGTAGCTTAAAGGAGCGCCTTTGCACACTATTTCTAAAGGCCCTCCTTGAGATGTCAATGCTCATCGCTACTATATATTAAATTAGTAATCAATAAAGTTGCAATAACTAGAAGTTGTATGGTGTATGTAGCTAAACATATTAGCTCCTACTGCAGATTATAAGTAGATGTAAGTTCATGGTCACGTAGTATAGGTAATGTCACAGAAATAATAAAATATATCTATGGGTAATGTTAATCTTTTAATTAATTCAATATTTTATTCAACACTATATTTCTTCCAATTCATAAAATATTTATAGAATTTTAACATAATATCATATGAAATAAGAACAATAAGAAATGAAAAATAGAAGGACGTACCACTAAATAATGAGAATTTTCGAAAAATTGTAACTCCTTGTTAGTCGCTTTAGCCATTGGGTACTAAAACTATTGCAGTAGGGGTTAGTCATATATCGATATCTTTCAGTTCTATGACTATGCCATGCATCAGTCTTAATCCATATTTTTGATTGGCCACCAGGTAACTAAATAGTGATTTTAAAAACATACCACACGATGATAAAGTACGATAAGATTATAAACCGACCCACATATTTTATCGTTCGCCGTATTATATCATAATTTATAAGATAACATGACGGACTAAACCTTAAATTAAGACTGTTTTAAATAAATATGAAATGAAAGTTGACTGCACGATTGGTGCGGTGGCTGGGCAACCGGCTGCCGCGCAACGTAGTGGATTCAATTCCCACATGGAGCAACTCTTTGTAGAATTTACAAATTGTCGTTTCGGATTTGGGTGTCAATCTTCCGATCCATTTCGATCATAGTGGCAGGTCTAGTCTAATTAGACTAGCCCATTACGCAAGAGATATTATGATGCGTACAAGTGTGTGCGCAAACACAGGTGCACTCTGTTCAATCACACACTGAACCCGATGGGACGGCAAACCGAAATGACAGGAAATAGGTCAGATACCACCGAATTTCTAGACTTCGGGTTAATAATGGTAATAAACATTATATATTATCTAAGCATTTTAAATTACTGCCTCGTTGGCCGAGTGGATGCAAGGGGTCTCGGGTTCGATTCCCGGGTCGGGCAGAGTACCTACTACTGGATTTAAAAAAAAATCTCAGTAGTAGCACGGAGTTTGGAATTGTGCCCGGTATATGGCAATAGGTTCACCACCTATTGCATAGGACTCATAACATTAATAGTGAAAAGTGGGTGTTAGATTGTACAGTGGCATAATGTGCACCTCTGCCTACCCCTTGGGGCATAAAAGGCGTAATGTTATTTTATGTTATGTTATGCATTTCAAATAATGTAATGTATAATAAATAGCATATTTAATCCATTTACAATATTAACAATACTAATGCATTTCAATTAGGATAGAAATTGTGTATTAACATATGACGTAACTATGTAGGTACTCATATAATTTATTATTACTAATTTTCTCTTTTAAATCCCAAGTTTTAAAAAGCATGTCGTAACGGGTAACCGGGGCTCCGGCTCGACGTGCAGGAGAAGGAACGGGGTGGTTTTTAGTCAGTAAGAGTCTGACACTCCCTTCCGCCTCACCCAGGCGGGAGCAGTCATTCGATGATTTTCCCCCCTTAAAAAAAAAGTGCTTCTGACAGCTAATGTGTCATTATGGTTAATTATTGTTTTTGAACAATTGTGAGATTTGCAGAGAAGCTATTTGTTCTGTTATATTGTTATTCTGTAAACCTTATTTTGATAAGGTAACGCTTATAGCACTCTCATGTTTTTATAACATTGCTGATCAGTTTATACCAAATTGTGGACAATGGCAATTTTAGTCCTTATGCAAAAATGAAGATTTATGCTCCACAGTCCAGTATAACTGCAAACAGATGTGATAACTATTAAGTATTCACACACACTGGCGCGCTAATTGCATAATAACAAGGTGTGATTTAAACAGGATGCAATATTCTCACACAATATTGTCATATTTATCCAAAATAATCATCATACAGACATACATACATCTATACAGATAAATAAAATTGGTGTGTCTGTTTGTAATATTAAAATAACTGATAAAACTATTTTACTACGTGCATATGAATATACATTATGATAAACATGCCAAAATATTAATAAACATGCCAAATTGAAACAAAAAGAAATTGTGTTCTAAAATTCATATTCTACGCGGACGAAGCCGCGGGCAACAGCTAGGTTGTAATAAAATCAATAATCAATATTGACAATAATTGAATAATATAACACATTATTCGTAATTTATTTTTATTACTTTATAATGTAGGTATTGTTTTCTAACATTTTCACCTTTACTTACTATTGACCTATTGTAATTCTATTAATTTATTTTTTTAAATACATGTTATTGTTTTATTATGTTAGTATTATTATGTTTGCATTACATTTAAAATTACAGTTAGTTACCAACCACTAGTATCAAACTTGGTGCTAATATTTACTAAGTACTTACATCATTAATTACCTGAGAGTCCACCGCAGGACCATAGGCCTCATCTACATAAGAGAGCAATCTTCACGCTAACCTTTTTAAGTTGCGATGTCCAGCGTCGTCACTGGGTACTTGCTAACTAGTCAAATTCAATACCTTTTTCGAACTGTCAAAAACGACAGTTTTCTATGAATTTTGTATGAGATTGTGTATTGTGACGTCACCTTTTTTTAGTGTCAAACAGCACACGTATTTCTTAAAAAATGCTGTTAAAATACTAAAATTTAGTTGGTCCTAAAATCAATTAATGAAAGTGGTTTTTAATATTTTATTGTATTTTTAATATTTTTTAATATTAGGTTTTTAATATTTTATTGTATTGAACATTGGTTTTTAATATTTTATTGTATTTTAAATATTTTTTAATATTAGGTTTTTAGTATTTTATTGTATTGAACGGTCGAAATATATATATATATATTTGTTGTTTAAGAATAGTACCCAATTATCGTTTGAAAATGTTATTAGTAAGTTCAAACTACTAGAGAATTGTTTTTTTTTTTATTGTTTTTTAAAAACGTTGCCCCACACTAGGATTTTCTCCTGTGTCGTGGGTGCGTTTACAAACATACAAATTCACATACACATGACACCCAGACCCGGAACAACAATTTGTGGATCACACAAAGTGTTGTTCCGTGCGGGAATCGAACCCGCGACACGTTGCACGGCAGACGGTTGCCCAGCCACCGCACCAACCGTGCAGTGGCTTATGCAGCTCATCATTAAAGCGACCAGTATAAACAAACAATAATATATCATTCGTCTTTAAAATGTTAGAATAGAATACAAAGGCGTGACCAATCTTTTGTCCTATATTGCAAAGTATTCAAAACTTCATTATGTTTATGTTTAATAAAATATACCCTAAAGGTACGCTACGAGGATGCGTAGGCATACGCTACGAAAGCGAAGCAACTTTTGGGGTAGCTCGTAGCACAGCTCCGTAGCTCGTAGCGATACAGCTAACTTAATTATCTGTGAATAATTGAGTTGTCATTGATTAAATGTTTACTTGATCTTTTTCAGACAAGACCTGCTGAAATGGTACGGATGGGGCTACAAGGACTCGATGTTCAAACTGCAAGGCCACACGGCCACCTTTACTGGAAACAGGTTAGTTTAAAATGTTAATACATTGTCATACATAAAAGACATCACGGATATATTCTAAGAAATTCTAATGTCATTTTTCTTAATAGATACATTTTAATTTACTTATAAGGACTATGATTTCTTGTAAACATACATATGCAGATATTTTACTAAAAGGATGAAGTAGCTTAATATAATATACATGAAACAGTAATAAGTATATGAACAAACAAAATTTTTATTATATTTGATTAGTGCATTTATCACATACCTACAATAGGTACCTAATAAATCTTTTTTTATGGGATAAGCCAGTAAACGAGCTGACGGATCATCTGTTGATAAGCAATCGGCGTCACCCATGGACTCCCGGAATACCAGAGGTGTGACAAGTGTGTTACCGGCCTTTTAGGGATTAGGAATTTGAGGATTGTTGGGGATTTAAGGATTGGGGAGATTGGGAGGGGAAAGGTCTCCGGTAACTTCACTCACGACAAAATACAACGTAACCGTTGTTTCACGTCGGTTTTCTATGAGGCCGTGGTATCACTTCGGTCGAGCTAGCCCATTCGTGCCCATGCATGAATGTCCCACACTTAGAATAAATATAGTAGGTATAATAAAGTTTGTATAGTTTTCAACTAACGAGTTATGGCTCGTGTTTGACCTCTGAATTATTTTAAGTAATAATAAAAGCAGTGATTTTTTATTAATCATTAATAGTTTTGCAAGAAATCCTTGACTTGTTCTTCATTCTCGATGCACCATTTAAATGCTATAGAAAAAAATATACACACATGCAAAACGTCTGCAGTTTAAAGAGTGTTGACCTCTGTTATTTGCGTTAGTTGAAGAAATCTAGCTTATAACATGAATTGCATAAAGTTTATTTATAAAATTATTATCATATGAAAGAAAAAGGAGTTTTTGGATTGTGATAGGATGACGTCTGATGGAAAGAGACGACATAGTTATTGTGCATCTTGAGAAGATATTTTATGTACCCAGAACCTTATGATAACTTAACTCCTATTTTAATCTCATAAGGAACTTAAAAGAGATGATTTGTTGTAATTAAGTATATATCATGTCGCGGAGAACCTAACGGGTAACCGGGGCTCCGGCTCGACGTGCAGGAGAAAGAACGGGGTGGTTTTTAGTCAGTAAGAGTCTGACACTCCCTTCCGCCTCACCCAGGCTGGAGCAGTCGTTCGATGATTTTCCCCCCTTAAAAAAAAAAAAAAATGTATATATCATCGTTTATCGTTAGAATATCGTCTAAAACATTGTGCGCAGATTTCCGCACTCCTCCGGGGAATACACAATGGACGTTGTGCTGCATTTTGACATTGTTAGACACTTCTGACTGTTCTAGCTGACATTATTAGACAGTCGTTCGTAACTAAGTGTCCCCTAAACATAATATTGTTAATTCTTATTATGTACTCGAGAAATAAGTAACAAACTTAATACATTTCGCGATCAAATGATAAATAATGTATTACTCAAATATAAACATACGTCGTTCAAGTAATATTTTTTATAGCTTCTTAGAATGTTTTAGGTATATGTTTTTGAAAAACATCGACAACAGGAAGGATAATTATGATGAATACACGTTTTCTAACTTTTTTGGGTGCGGTCATTTGTTATGAAGCCGCTCGCAAGGAGCGCATCACAGAAATACTTTATTATCCATTAAATATTGGACTATGGGCTACCTCTGCATAGGAGGGTTTTCCATATTCTTTTTTAGTCACTGTGTAGAAGTCAAACTAAGGATAATTTGAATTTCATTATTCTTATTAACTAACAGTAATTTGTAATTGTTGTATATGTAGGTACACAATAATAATGCAGTGGCATTAGTCTATTTTTTGTACAATGTCACGAACTGTTTTGTACGAATTCAGTAACAAAACAATTTAAACACTTTTGAATGCACTGCATCATTAATTAACACTAAATACTGAGTGTGTTCACTGTGTAAATAAACGTATAAATCAAATAAATGATCACTGCAAATATCATGATTTGTCATAATGGGAGACATACCTACCTTGAGAAGTATGGACACTATGTACATGTACAATAATGTACACATGTGTCATTATGTCCTAAATAGACTATTCAGTGTCCACGCAGGGTCATAGTCACAAAGAAAGTGGTGTCAACGAGGTATGACTAGATGACCACAAACCAGGATCGCTGGTGGGCGGCCAGCAAATTGCCACTTCCCGTTAATTCGCCAGAGCACGTGCCATTTGACTCGACTTCTTATACCGCACTCAATAAGTATATTGTTAAACTAGGTTACTTAATTAGCTGTCAAAATTTAAAGCTGCTTTAACCCCTCGAGCGTCCTTATGAGCACCCAGTGGATCATAAGAAAAAATGCTCCACGCTGCTTTCTCTTTTATACAATCTGTTATTAATGTTTTGTTTTTATTTTGACTGTGTTTTTTATTTCTATTGTAATGATACTTGTTTTCGTGTGCCAATGGCCAAATAAATGCATTTTCTTTCTTTCTTTCTCCAAATGTCACGTGTGCACCCGTTGAATCATAAGAAAAGCGGACGCTCGACGAGTTAAAGGTCGTCAATATCGTCAGCTGACGTCCGAAATTGATCCAATCGGTCCCGGTTCCCGGTTTAAAACAGAAACTTTATACGAGTAATGCCAAAAATCGACGTTAATCCAAAGATTCGGGATTGATCCAAATACAATCATCGAGTCCATAGTTCTAAAACTGAACACTGACAATAGTCAGTTTTCGCTTCTTGTATCCTACAATTTCTAGTAACTAGGTACCATGGTTTTATTTGGCTGGTAAATCGAGTCACCTGATTTAGTTGTTTAGGTATCTCTGAAGCGTAACGATAAGATGACAATATAAGCGAGCCAACAGTAATGCTTAAATTATTTATGACCAAATATGACCAACAGAATTCTCCAGTAATCCAAAAACTAAACTTTGAAAATATACCATAACAGTATCTTTAATATTTTATTATGGTCTTTTATCCTGCCTCGTTGACAGAATGGTCGCAAGTGCGACTGCTGGATCTCGGGTTCGATTCCTGGGTCGAACAGAGTATTATTGTGTTTTATGGTAGGTATAGGTGGCAAACGAGCAGACGGATCACCTGATTTTTTAAAATAAATCTCAGTAGCAGCACGGAGTCTGGAATGATGCCCGGTATATGATAATAGGTTCACCAACACGGGACTCATAACATACATTATGAAAAGTGGGTGTTATATTGTACAATGGCAACAAGGGTCGCAATTAACACCTCTGCCTTCCCCTTTGGGGATAAAAAGACGTGATGTAATATTATGTCTTTTAACCTGAATTCAAAACACAGATGAATAGTAACATCTAACATTACATTGAAGGATAGCCATAGTGTTTGTGAAAAACTGGTGCGAATAGATGTGTGGTAGAAATAATAGTATAACTAAACTGCAGTACATAATATACAATTATTGGTCAGCAGTAAAACTTTGTGTCTACCATTGAAGTTCAATTCAAGTAAATAATGGTTTAAACGGCGGAGCAATCGTCGGAACGACTTGTGACTGTAAATATTGATCGTAAAACAAGTTGCAACTCAATGAATGCACTGAACCTCTGTTTATTGTGCATAGCAAACATAACTTAAGGACTAGAATACTAGATGTACCTACTTGTGACGTACTAGGAAGTTAGAAGTATTTTCTTTTTTTTATGGCATAAGCCGGTAAACGAGTAGACGGATCACCTGATAAGTAATCGGCGTCGCCCATGGACACCTGGAACACCAGAGGCGTTTTTGGGGATTAGGAGTTTGAGGATCGTTGGGATTCAGGAATTAGGGAGATTGGGGAAGGGCAGGGTAATTGGGCCTCCAGTAACCTCACTCACAAGACGAAACACAACGCAAGCGTTGCTTCACGTCGGTTTTCTGTGACGCCGTGGTATCACTCCGGTCGAGCCGGCCCATTCGTGCCGAAGCATGGCTCTCCCACACATTTTCTTTTAAAAGTTAATATTTTGTCATCCATGGCCATAGCAAAAGTGTTTGATGAATAGCTCTATGTTGTCCAATTAACACATTGCAAAATACGCCTTATATGCTCAAATTATTTGGTAGGTTTAATCCTTATTGTGACGTGGTGGCCCGGAGGAGTGACGTGTGGCCCGGAGGCTTAAGACGCCCGCTTCTCATGCATGAGGGTGCGGGTTCGAAACCTACCAACGGCAAGTACCAATGTGACTTTTTCCGAGTTATATGTACTTTCTAAGATTATTCAGACACCACTGACAAACAGTGAAGGAAATCATCGTGAGGAAACCTGGGCTTATAATTTCTAATTATAAGTTTGTAATCGCCAACCCGCATTGAGCAAACGTGGTGTTTAATGCTCAAACCTTCTCCGTGTGAGAAGAGGCTTTGCTCAGCAGTGGGCATTTATAGGCAGTTGATGAATCCTTATTGGCTAAAGGAGTTTAATAGAGTCAATAAACTTTTATGATAAACGTACAAGTACAGTAGATAAAACAACTATAAAAGGAATTTATACATTAACTATAATATTATTTTAATAAAAGTGATAAGATAAAGATAACGTTCGCAATCATGAAGGTCGTATTAGAATTTGATAGTCAAATTAATCGACCTTGATCTACTATCGCTGACATTTTTACCGGTCCGAGAATCGATGCGGTCGACATCACACCTGAATGACGTATGTACGTATCACGCATTTATCCCACATGGAACAATATGTAAACCTAGTCTAGCAATGATATTTACAGCTAGTTAACGTCTTTTAGACACCAAATGAATTATAATCTCGAGAAATATTGAACTACTAGCTTTTACCCGCGGCTTCGCTCGCGTCACAAAAGGATAAAAAGTAGCCTATGTGACATATACCAATACACACAGCGCCATCTATACCAATAATTTCGTTTTCCCTCGAGAATATCAAGTTTTTCCGGGATAAAAAGTACCCTATTATTTAATCCAGACTTCCAACTTCACGTCTGCAAAAATTCAAGGCAAACGGTTTAGTAGTTACGCCGCGAAAGTGGAACAAACAAACAAACTCACTTGCCGGTTTATAATATTAATATAATAAGGAATCAATTCATTATTTACCAAGAGTGTGAACCATGAATGTCATTGTGCAGTTTTATGTCTGAGCGTAAAATTATTCGCCTTAATGATGCTGTAGTTACAAAAACCAGTAAAACCGATTAATGTGACATAATGAGTTTACCACTAGAGGTAAACGGACGTTGATGTCAAAATAAGAAATTCACACAATCTAGAATCTAGATTGTTCACAAATCTTTAAGGGCCGTTTCATCAAGCACTCCTTAAACATATCTTAACTAAAAGTTACTTAGCGTGAGCACCTAAATTAACCCCTGACTTGTACTGTTACGTGTCATTTATAGGTTAGTGAAAATGCCGTTAAATGGCACCTATTTTTTTTATGGCATAAACGGATAAACGAGCAGACGGATCACCTAATGGTAGGCAATCGGAGTCGCCCATGGACACCTGGAACACTAGAAGCGTTACGAGTGCGTTACCGGCCTTTTGGGGATTAGGAGTTTGAGGATTGTTGGGGATTCGGGGATTGGGGAGATTGGGGAAGGGGGGAGAGTAGCTGGGCCTCCGGTAACCTCACTCACACGACGAAACACAACGCAAGCGTTGCTTCACGTCGGTTTTCTGAGGCCGTGGTATCACTCCGGTCGAGCCGGCCCATTCGTGCCGAAGCATGGCTCAACCACACTTAAATCTTAGCTTAGGAGTTCCTTAAAATTAAAGAGGAGTTGTTAAACACGAGCATAGTGCCAAGTACACACTAGGTGAAAAATGTCCTGCGACACGTGTCGCCAGCGACGTCGGGTGAAGTAGCGCGACGTTGCCAGACTTTGGTCGACATGTCTGGCAATGTCAACGTCGCTGTAGACCCGTGTCGCGCTACGTTGCTTAAGTTATTGCTTGCTTGTGTATCCTTGGCTTAAGACTAGAAATTTCTAAGAGACTTAGATAAGGCTTCAAAGAAAAAAATATTAAAGTATAATCTTAGCCACTTGTTTTTGAAGAACATTGGTCGTGAAGATACTAATGGCACTCATAAATATTAGACGACCCTCCAAGCCTTAACACCGTTTACTAATGCACACGTCAATATTCACATTGTACATACATTAGAAAATACTTAGCCAAAAATAAATGCTTTATGGCTTTACCTACTGCGAGTGCCGTAACTTCGGGGACGTTTGAAATCTTTGTTATGTATGCGGGAAAATTTGACCGAAGTCTTTGGGACTTAAAATAAATCTTAACCTGTCGTGCGTCTAAGACGTGGATCCGAATGACTAAATTCTTAGTATGTGCCCATTGTTGTACTCATTGTGGTGTCAGTTTCTTAAAATAATGGTGATATTTGTATTTATTGCAAATCGGTTGCAATGTATACGAACAATTTTATTATAATGGTACCTCAAAATTAGTGACGTGTCACGACTCCTTTTAGTTGTCGCTGTGGTCATCTCTCCCGGAAAAATAGGACAGAAAAATAAAAGATTCAACAAGAAGATAGTTTTCATTTTGTTCAACCTGCCATTGGAGGCTTTCTGACGAGATACTGAAGGGTTTTTCTATTAAAGTACCGATATAAGAACTTCTTTAATTAATAGACATGTAAAAAGATAGATTTGTAATCTTTTAGAAATAAATGAATTCAAACCGTAATTCTAACATAATAGTGTTTTCTTTCCCTATTCTACGTACTATCTGACTACAGTATCAACCCTTAATAGTTACGAAAGACCTTTGCCCAGCTAATACTTAATACGTCGACAAATATTCCCTTGTTTGCTTGTTTGTCATTCACAACTGACGACTACAAACACACACACAGTGCTGTTTGATCTCCAGTCTGACAATATTTGCTCTGCTTTACTCGATCTTAGTTAATCTGTTACGATTAATTGCAATTTGCAACTAATCATTATCATATCTTTATGAATATTTTTTTATCACATGAACAGTCAGATCTCTTGATGGTAACCAGAACCAGTCTGTGTCACCCATGGATAGAGAAGTTACAAATACGTTGCCAGTTTTGTGAAGATTGGGGATTAGGAGACTAATAGCAAAAATTAATTTTCTATTTCTGAATATAACTATATAACCTAGGACTACTTCCATTGGATTTATTTTTAAGAATAATAATTTATTATCTATCAAATTCTACACATTCTACTATTAAAGTTGTTTAGTATGAAAATGGGTCACCTGATGTAGTTCTCAGGGAAAGTGACAGCTGTCTTAGTGGAAAGTAATGGACTTCAAATAGAATAGAGGACTGGAAAAGTCGTTTTTAACCGTTGGGCTATAAAGTTGTTAAGTATTAAAAGTTCTAAATTATAACCACTATGCGTGTGTAGATAAAGGTAATATTAAAAGTAATGTCGGTTCGTGCACGACAACTGTAAAATTTTTATATTTTCTTTTCACTACTGTGGTGAAATGAATAGTCAATATAGTCGCAGTAATTGCACTTTTGAATGTCGAGGCGTCTTTTGAACATTTGAAAAACATAACATAACATAACATCACGCCTTTTATCCTCGAAGCGGTAGGCAGAAGTGCACATTATACCACTGTACAATGTAACACCCACTTTTCACTATTTATGTTATGAGTCCCATGTAATAGGGGGTGAGCCTATTGCCATATACCGGGCACAGTTCTAGTCTCCATGCTACTACTGAGACTTTGATAAACATCAGTTGGCGAAACAGACAAGTTATCTGTGAATGTACCGACTTCCTTCATCACGGATTCACAGAGTTCTTCTTATCAATGTAGATTGTAGGTCCATTATATATCATATTGATTAGGTACCCCTAGTGACGCGGTTGAATCAAGTCAATCAGGCAAGAAATGTTCTTCCATAGTTCTTCCAAACGGAATCCGGAATCATATACTTATTTTCATCCTTTACGTACTTACTTATGGAACGCTAAACATATACGTACTTATTTATACATAGTAGGCCTTTTTTTTTTTTTTTTTTTTAGGGGGGAAAATCATCGAATGACTGCTCCGCCTGGGAGGCGGAAGGGAGTGTCAGACTCTTACTGACTAAAAACCACCCCGTTCCTTCTCCTGCACGTCGAGCCGGAGCCCCGGTTACCCGTTAGGTTCTCCGCGACTCCGAATCGGCATCGGCCCTATTGGGCCCCATCTGTGGTGGTCTGATGGCTCTTTGAGGCGCGCGCGGAACGCGACGCGCCGTACGCTCGGGTCTGTTTCTGGTCGGACGGGGAGCCACCCATGCTCGCCGTCCGCAGGCCCGCGCTTACGGTGGCCGGAGATCGTCCCGCGATCCCCGACGCCCGGTGTGTCCTTCGCGATGGCTGGGTCGCGAGGAGGCAGCGCTTCGCTGCCTCACGCGTCCCGCCTCCTCCTTAGCTAGCATGACTGCTTCGCAAAAGGAGGAGACGGCATCCCAGTCCCCCTCGCTCCGCATCATGGCCTGCACTAGGCTCGGACGCGAGAGGTCGCCATCGCCGATCACTTCCCTGAGGGCACGGCGGTGCTCAGCCCACGCAGGGCATTCCGCTACGGTGTGTTCCACCGTGTCCTCAGGGCGGTCCTCGCAGTGATGACACCCGGGCGTTTCCTCCCGCCCCATCAGACACAGGTACCTCCCGAAACTTCCATGTCCGGTGAGGACCTGCGTCAGGCGGTAGGTGAGGACGCCGTAGCGTCTCTCAAGCCACTCCTCAAAGAGGGGACTTACCGCTGCAATGGCAGCGAGCCCAACATAGTAGGCCTAGTAACCTTCACACTACATGTGACATACAACAGTTATGACATCAGTATCTTTGTATCCTGAAAATTGATCAACACCAAGCACAAACATTTGATCAAATGTGTGAAATGTAAATTTTATCCTCTCGTGTGAACTTTGACGTCATTTATAGTCTTTACATTAGGTAATGGGTTCATGTGCTTATGTACTTTGTTCGCAAGTTACATCATAAAGTATGAAGTGCGTGGCTATACAGGTAACTACTGATGGTCTCCATATCTGGAATAACTGTTAGTTAACGAAAAATGTTATTAATATCTTGATCATTTTCGCAACGAAAATACCTTTAGTTTGCTCCAATACAGGCAACGGACAGTACCCTGTACCCTTATATTTTACTTTTATTTACATTGAATATCTTTCTATTACAGATACTCAATCGGAGGGCACACTCTACCACATCTAGCACAATGGGCTATAGACAAGTTCGGCATAGACCCATCAAGAGAACCGAAGATACCCGAACTCCCTAAGAAGTTTGCTGAGAGCAGGCTACCAGAATCTATTCGTTTGGAATTGGAGGAGATTGCTGAAGTGAGCATCGATGGTATGGACAGACTGATCAGAGCTCATGGGCAGACACTGAAGGACATGGCCCAGTTGAGAACGAACAGCTTCCCAAGGATCCCTGATGCTGTAATATGGCCTGATAGTCATGAACAGGTGAGGATGTCAAGCGCTAAACGAGATTATGTTATGCTGACTATTTATTTTTTCTCTTGTTTTTTAAATGAATGATGTACAGAAACGATATTATGATTTAGATCGTACGACGCCAACCGTCTTATGAAAACTTTGCAGATATATTAAAAGAAGTATGTTTTTATTTTAAGAGACCTTGAAATTCTGGAAGGACGCCATTGCGTTAATCATACTAATGGAATAATTTAAGCAAGTTCCTCCATAAATATTTTGCGTAACGTCGCCAAGGGCCTTGTTTTTTTAATCGATTCTATGGAACAGCAAAATAATTTCGCAATCGACAGCACCATTGACATTTTTGCATATATTTTGTCGAACATCTCTATCAAAGTCAAGAACAAGGTACCGTATTCGTGATAAATATACATTCCCGCTCAATTCCACATATCGACTAAAAAGGTCATGGCGATTTATTTAAACAATTTATTAACTTTAATAAACGTACGGCAATTAGTTACGTGAATTTTTTATCTCATATTTAGTACAGGTACTGGCCGTGGTTAGAAACAGATAAACATTAATAATACTTATAGTAATTTATAGGTCTGTTTGGTTATGATAGGACACGGTTAAACGCGAACGTTTAATTAACGTAACGCTGCGGATGAGGTCAGATTAAAAGTAGGTCACATTTCGCTTTCCGCACATCGTAACCATCCGACGGACATGGTTTAATATTTTTTGTGTGGCGTTCTGTATATTACTTACATTCAAAGACCGAAAATAGATCATAGCTCATTGTGACTTATTTCAAATGATGTGTCAGGATCTGAGACTTACTCACTTGTTACTTAGGGTTTCGAGTGTATGCGCCAAACGAGAGCTTTTAGTCCGTTGAGGGCGGGAAAAATACTTATATAAATTTTTTTTTCGCAAGGTGTATCAGGAAATCGCGAAAATCCTTCATTATTTAGTTTTATGGCCTGTTTAATAACTGTCACCAGTTTAAATCACGTATCTAATACATTGACCTAGAAGTTGTCACAAATTTATTTAAGTTTGCTAAGGTCACAGTGATGGAACTATAACATATACCTTGCCCTTCGCGACTGCCTGCAATGTGCTAAGTAGGTACCTAACTACCGAATTTACGTAACCGTAACCGTCACAATCATAATATTATACTTAATGATTAGTGTGATAATGCGAATTAATATGTTTCGACTGCCTTCGACTAAGTACCTATAATACCTTGTATGGAGTTACAAAGTCCTTCAACTGTCTATTTCGTTCCAATTTTTGATAACATTATGTATAATATCGTAAATGGACGAAAGGGTTTTTGGAAAACAAGTGAATGGTAACACATTGCAAATTCACGCATTTGTCATTCATGAAGCTAATGAAGTATCCAAAGACCGTAGGTAGTAGGTGGCGTGTAGCTTCTGCTTACCCTCATAAATCAAAGGCGGGAGTTTATATAGTACGAGTACTGTCTACTTTTGCGCATACAAACATTTTATACTACTTTCCAGGTGGAGCAAATAGTGCAATGTGCGTCCCGGCACAACTTCGTGATCATTCCGTTCGGTGGTGGCACCTCGGTGTCGGGCGCCGTCACCTGCCCCGCCAAGGAGACCAGGCCCATTGTGGTACTGGATACCAGCGACCTTAACTCCATCTTGTGGCTGGATAAGGATCAACTGCTGGCTAGAGTACAGGTAAGAGGATTACTATTTATTTTATAGGTACAAACAATTGACGTAGGGACCTAATAAACGTGTGCTGTGGTGTCGACAAACATTTTATTTTGTTACCACCTCTCCTTGCGGGCGGGTATCGTAAAAACTGATTAGAGAACTACACAGTCAACACTGTAGACTCTACAGCTACACATATTACTCAAACACATGTGGTAGAGTAGCAGTGGCTTAATAAATTCACTTTCATATGGAGTTTCTTCCTTATTCTTCTCCATAGGCATCTACAATTTGGAATGACCAAATAGCTTTACTAGAAGACTTTTCTTTTTTTTCTTCTTTGGCAACCGAGTCTCCAAAATGGTGTTGTCGCCTATACTGCCAGTGTCGGGTGGTAACGGCAAAATTATTGAACCGTCGCGTCGAACTTAACTTTGTGGTAGCTTTTAGTTGTTAGAAGCTGAAAGGACAAAATAATTGGGTTAGTAATCATAAACATTATCAACTATTTCACTGTATATATGTCGTAGGATAATTTGATACTTCGAATCTTCGCGGAAATCCTAGGGGTTTTGCGAAAATGCGGATAATTAGACATAGGCGAAAAATTATCAAATCTTACTGGACAAAGTCAGGATTTTTGCGAAAATACTCATTACTATAGTGAGATTGCGAAACGAAACGCTGGCTGTTATGAAATAAGAACGCTGATTGGTCGGTCAGCGCGTTCAATAAGAGATCGTCTCTGATTGGTTGACGTCTTAAATGTTTTTTCGTCGTCTTAAACGACCAGTTTCATCCAATTTATGGATTACACCCTAAAATTGGATCATTTTTTTTACTACGACTGAGATCTCCTATTGTCTGTAGAAAACAACATACATAAATTTTCAATACTAAAATTTTCAATAAAAAGTTAACATACTAAAATTTTCAATAAAAAGTTAATAAAAACCAATTTAGGGGTTTTACTTTTTCACCTATCCTAAACCTTCATAACTCTATGATACAATACTTGAAGTTAATCATCGGCAAACTAGGAACCAACTAGAAGTCAGCCAGCAAAATTGTAGCCAATCAGTGTTGAGCACATCAAATCTTACTATAGTAACGAGTATTTTCGCAAAAATCCTGACTTTGTCCAGTAAGATTTGATAATTTTTCGCCTATGTCTAATTATCCGCGTTTTCGCAAAACCCCTAGGATTTCCGCGAAGATTCGAAGTATCAAATTATCCTACGACATATATATACACAATATAGACCGATATAACTAGAAGACTTACCAACGGACACTATTCATTTTATTTTTGTTTGACGTTCAATAGTGACTTCCTGGTCTAATTGAAATAAATAATTTGACTTTGACTTTGACTTATGATACCGACACGTGTGAATATCAAGTAGGTACAAAACAGATACCTATTTATTAACACCACATGCCTAAAAATTAGCAAGTCGTTGGAAAAAAATATATATTCTTGATAAATATATCCTTGACAACGTTTATCATTAGCACCTTTGCTCCGAAACCATTGAAGTAGGTGTTTGATTAGTAGCCTCATAATAGCCTATAACGTTTTATTTTGTACTGATGATTCAGTTTTTTTATTAGACGAATACGCACAGTGAGTACATATGTACTCAATGTTTAGAATAGATCTTTACAGTCTACTTCGCGCCTCAAGGAGCCATCAGACCACCACAGATGGGGCCTAACATGGCTGATGGCGATACGGAGCCGCGGAAGACTTAACGGGTTGCCGGGGCTCCGGCTCGAAGTGCAGGAGTAGGAACGGGGTGGTTTTTAGTCAGTCTGACACTCCCTCTCGCCTCATCCGGGCCAGAGAAGTCATTGGATGATTTTCCCCCCAAAAAGGGGTGTTACTAAGAATTTCAATAAAATTGTTTATTATCGGGTTTTGTAATTAATATACTTATATTACAATTCAGTACTTAGTTCGGACTTACTTCTACGGCTCTTAGAAGCATCGACTAAATTAACATTTAACAAAGATAGTCACTTTTATCCATGTTTCTTACGATCTTAGTCTACTCATATACGATCTCCGGCCACCGTAAGCGCGGGCCTGCCGACGGCGAGCATGGGTAGTTCGCCACCCGACTAGAACCAGACCCGAGCGAACGGCGCGGCGCGTTGCGCGCGCGCCTTAAAGAGCCATCAGGCCACCACGGATGGAGCTCAATAGGGCTGATGCCGATACGGAAGAGAACCTAACGGGTTACCGGGGCTCCGGCTCGAAGTGCAGGAGTAGGAACAGGGTGGATTTTAGTCAGTAAGAGTCTGACACTCTCTCCTGCCTCACCCAGGCGGGAGTCAAGTCATTGGATGATTTTTCCCCCCTTAAAAGAAAAAAAGTCTACTCATATACCTATTGAGTATTTCTAGGTATATAAGTACTAATTATGATAAATAAGTTTATTTACGTATTTTTTTTTTTCAATTTCCAGGCGGGTATCGTAGGCCAGGACTTGGAACGTGAGATGCGCGCCCGCGGCTTCACAGTCGGTCACGAGCCGGACTCGTACGAGTTCTCCACTCTCGGTGGCTGGGTGGCAACCAGAGCCAGTGGCATGAAGAAGAACACCTATGGAAATATTGAGGACCTCATTGTTAATACTAAGGTAAGTTGTTTAAATAGAGGGGATGGTAACGTAACGTTATGAGGACTAAGTGACATATTGACTGTAAACGCACCCACGACGCAGGAGAAAACTATAGTGTGGGACAACATAATTTAAAAAAAATGTACATGTTCATATACATATAAGCAAGCGTGTCGTGGTGGCTCGGAGGTTAAGACGCCCGCTTCGCATGCCTCATACATGAGACGGGGGTGTGGTTTCGAAACCTATCAAAGGCAAGTACCAATGTGACTTTTTCAGAGTTATACGTATTTTCTAAGATTATTTGAAACCACTGAGAAACGGCGAAGGATAACATCGTGAGGAAACCTGAACTTATAATTTCTAATATTATAAGGTTTAAATCGCCAACGGGCAATAAGCAAGCCTGGTGATTAATGCTCAAACTTTCTCCGTGTGAGAAGAGGCCTTTGCTCAGCAGTGGGCACTTATAGACTGTTGATGTATGATGTAAGTAAAGCCAAGGATAGACGTAGATCAAGTTGTCAGATCAAGGCATGAATTTTTTCTCATTTAATACCGGCTGCCCTGGAAACCATTGAGAAAGTCCTATGTTCAGCAGCGGATGTCTTGCAGATGTTTAATGCTTTGTTATGACAATTAAAAATCCATACAGATACTTAGCTTCATTATTTTCAAACCTAATCTTACTCGTACCTAAAGTATGATGGTATAAAACTTTCGTCTAATGTTTCAGGTAGTGACAGCTCGCGGTGTGTTTGAGAAGAGTTGTCGCGTGCCTCGCATGTCGTGCGGGCCCGAGTGGGAACATGTCATCATGGGATCTGAAGGGTGCTTCGGGGTCGTTACTGAGGTATGTCAGGTGACTTTTTCTCACTATAACTCTAGCATGGATAGAAGACTAAAGACTATTTGATGTGATAATAAAAGGCAATTCACAAATCCACAACGGATTGCTAATCATATTTTGCAGGAGCTTTATGTATAAACATAACGTCACGCCTTTTATCCTCGAAGGTATAGACAGTGGTGCACATTATACCACTGTACAATGTAACACTCACTTGTCACTATTTATGTTATGAGTCCTATGTAATAGGGGGTGAGCCTATTGCCATGGGCACAGTTCCAGACTCCGTGCTACTATTGAGATTTTTTTTAAAACCCAGTAATACTTTGCCCGACCCGGGAATCGAACCCGAGACCCCTTGCCCGGCAGTCGCGCTTGCGACCCCTCGGCCAACGAGGCAGTTTTTCTCTAATACTAATCTATTACATATTATAGGTAACTATAAAAATCCGTCCACTTCCCCCCGTGGTCCGCTACGGGTCGCTCGTGTTCCCCGACTGGGAGAGTGGCTTCCACTTCGAGAGAGAAGTAGCCAGGCAACGCCTGCAACCGTCCAGCATCAGACTTATGGACAATGAACAGGTATTATTATTACATCTAGATTCTACAAAATACGTAGATGTATTTGTATAAAGGTATCCCGTATGGTTTCTAATCTTCCGTATAAATCTCTCTGTGAAATTCTTCAAACGGCATGCTCAAATCGCCGCACGTGCTGGATACGATTCTAAAATTAATAATTAACATAACATAACATCACGCCTTTTATCCCCGAAGGGGTAGGCAGAGGTGCACACAGAGATAACACCCACTTTTCACTATTTATGTTATGAGTCCCATGTAATAGGGATGAGCCTATTGCCATATACCGGGCACATTTCCAGACTCCGTGCTACTACTAAGATTTTTTTTAAAAACCTAGTAATACTTTGCCCGACCCGGGAATCGAACCCGAGACCCTTCGCCCGGCAGTCGCACTTGCGACCACTCGACCAACATGGCAAAATTAATAATTAATTATTCTACTACCCACAGTTCCGTTTCGGTCAAGCCCTAAAAACAGAAAACACATGGGGTGGTGTTCTACTAGATGGACTAAAACGTCTGTACATCACGAAGATCAAAGGCTTCGACCCTGCGAAGCTGTGCGTGGTGACACTCCTCATGGAGGGCTCCGCTGAGGAGGTCTCGGCCAGGGAGAGCAAGCTAAACAACATCGCCGCTCAGTTCGGAGGGATACCCGCCGGAGCCACTAACGGAGAGAACGGATATACGCTAACCTTCGTCATCGCTTATCTCAGGGTATGTATTTAAACAAATATAGAATATAGTATAGGCTGTATCTTTCCATATAATAAATTCTTAGGAAAGTGAAAACTGTACCTACATCATGTAGGATGCTTTGGGCGTGATTTACAGTCAATACCGAAACCAAAAATATGGTTTTTAGAATTTTTGTCTGTTTGTCTGTATGTATGTCCGGGATGAACTCAAAAAGTACTGAATGGATTTACTTCAAATTTTTCATGAATATTACTGACAGGTCGGGTAAAAATATACGCTACATATTATTTGAAAAACAAAATATACGTTGATAACAGATCAACTACGGGAGAGGAGCTGTGAATCACTATTCCACGCGGACAAAGTCGTGGGCTCAGCTAATAAACATAATGTCAAATGAACTTTATTTCTCAAAAGAAGGGGTGTCTATGCAAAATGTGCAGGTCAAATATCACAGATTTTTGTCAGTTATTAACAGGTCGCATGTAGAAAGCAAGCCACTTAGTGCACATTGCCATTGCCACTGCCATGTCGAACTAACAAATAGAATATAGAACTCACGTTTTCCTTATGAGTCCCAGTTGCAACCATTGGATAAAATATAAAATTAATATTAATATTCTTACATAATAAATAAAATAATATATATTATTTCAGAAATTATACAGTGTCATCTACTTACTACTTACTTATGTACAAGTGTACAGTGACTGCACGGTTGGTGCGGTGGCTGGGCAACCGGCTGCCGTGCAAGGTGTCGCGGGTTCGATTCCCGCATGGAACAACACTTTGTGTGATCCACACATTACTGTTCCGAGTATGGGTGTCATGTGTATGTGAACTTGTATGTTTGTAAACGCACCCTCGACACAGGAGAAAAACCTAGTGTGGGGCAACGTTTTTCTAAAAAAAAAAATAGACAAAGAACATTAAGATTTAAAATGTGATAAATATAAGATTAATTTCTAAGGTTTCATTTTCAACAGGACGTGGCCATAGAATACGACGTAGTATCAGAATCGTTCGAGACATCAGTTCCATGGGACCGCACACTAGCGCTCTGTGCCAACGTGAAGCTGCGCATACGCAACGAGTGCGCCAAGAGAGGCATCGACAAATACCTCATATCGCATCGACTGACGCAAACGTGAGTCACATCATTATATACGTACATATTATTTATTATAATTTTAAATATTTCATAATAATATGTTGTTAGGTAAGTTTAAGTTATTTACTTAGATTTACCAACGTGCGTCAGACCCTGGTTTGGCCACTGAGGTAAATAAGATAATGTCGAACCATAATATAGGTACCATGGGCGTAGCCAGTAATAGGTTCAGGGTGGGGCAACAGTCTAAAATAAATTATGTAGGTAACTAGCAATTATACCCGTGGTCTTAACCTAGTAATTTTTTTCATACAATAAAATAATACTAATATAGCATCCAAATTTATGATTTAGATTTTTTTAAATAGATTTTAATAATTTCATTTCATTTGTTTTAGATATTTTTAGTCTGTAATGACAATTGTTATATGTGTGCAATAAATAAATAAATAAATAAAATAGGTTTGGTTAGGTAAGGTGCCCACCGTATCTACGCCCATGTTAGGTATGTATTTGCGTGCAAGACAATACATTGTTTAATTTTAAATTGTACCTAAGTTCGCTCCTACATGGCAGTTTTGGGAAATACTTTACCTCCTTATTATTTATTACACACATATTTACAATAACAACTAATGAATAATGAATGATTTTCATCGAAACTGCCTAACACCTTATGTAGGTACAGATAAATTGGAAAAAGTGGTAAAATTCTGCGTTTAACATAAATATTATAAAGTCAGGGAAATACCCAAGTAAAATATTATTCAAACTTCATTCCAGGTATGACGCAGGCTGTTGTATTTATTTCTACTTTGGTCACTATATTGGGAACTGTGCTGACCCCGTGTCGACATACGAAGAAATTGAAGAGGCTGCACGGGACGAAATCATTGCCTGTGGCGGTGAGTTTTTTTTTCTATTCGTTGCGTTATGTTGGCATTACTGCTTCGTAAAAAAGTCAATTTAGCGACGATTTTCATAACATTTTTCGTATTTAAACGCGAGAGTCATACTGTGCATTTATTTATTTTCTCTTCAATACTGCTAGTATTTTAAATTATTCTGTTTTATTTTTACTCAAATTGTTATGTAAGTTATTATTGTTAAATCTTTTTGCAGGATCAATATCACACCACCACGGGATCGGGAAACTTCGTAAGAAATGGTATGTGGACACGGTGAGCGAGCCCGGCCGACAACTTTTGCTTGCCGCTAAGAAAGCTTTGGATCCAGACAATATTTTCGCATTAGGAAATATGGCATTCGAAGAACACAGCAATAACACTGACGTGTCGGTTAAAAGTAAATTATAAGGATTTATTTAAGTGTGAGCAAGTTTTAGGTCCATTTCAATCTTAATTTAATTTCATAGATAAGGTAGTAATTTTGTTAGATTTTGTACATTGTTTTATACAGATCAGAGAATAATATACATAATAATGTTCTAATAAATGGCATCGAAATTTCTATTAAATTGATGGCAATAAATTAGTGCTTTGAAGATCTTTCTGGTTTACGGCAATGACGTCATACCCGTACGCATGTCGCGTTTGGGACTAGATGTGAAACCTTTGTGTGACAAATATTTGTTCATGTATTTAAAAAATAATTGTCCTGTACCGTTAGATAGGTTACTTAAAGGTAATTTACTCTACTGACAATAGTAAACTCGTTCAATTATTGGTATTAAGGGTAACTTACTTCGATCACGTTGGCAAACCTCGCTTTTTAACATTCGACAAATTAGATAATAAGTGTAGTTTTAAAACATTTTTATTGAAGCTTGCGTTCGTTTCTAATTAATTTATACAAAGAATACATTTCATGGCAATTGAGACCTTATGGCAAACTATAGCTAATTATGTCAGCGATTTTTCTTCTCATAAATTTTCTGAGGATATTTTCCGACGAAATTATGACACTGTCTGTATAATCTTAAAAAATCAAATCTTTTTACAAATGCTTACCCACGAAATTGCATTGTTCTTCTCCATGACTTGAGAAGTAAGTATAGATTACATAACAAAGTTGTAGCGTGTAATATTGCGTCGCTCACAACATATTGGTCGCTCAAGCAAGACACCCTGTAAACAATTAAAATATCAAATTAGGTTTAGTTTATTTAATTACAAGAAATTGTTGAAAAAATGATATATTATGTTTTAATAAAGAAGTTATACATTTGTGGCATAGGTATTATGTTTTTGACATACACACTTCATGTGCAAATAATTGTAATATTTGTTTAGGAACAGAATACGCGGCCTATTTTCTATTTTTTATTTATGCCAAATAATTTTAGAAGTAAACAATAGCCACATTATGTTAGCCATCCAATTGTAATGATACTATTGTATCCAGTGCCATATGATGTTAGTTAGTTTGTAATTGTTTACAACCTGTTAAGAAGATACCATTACAAAATAATATGGCTTTATGAGCATAATAAATCGACTCCTTAGTCTGACCATGTACTTACACATAGAAAGTCTCTCTTCCTGCACTTTGACACATTAACACCGTCATTGATATTTATTATAGCAATTAATTGCTCAATCTTATTATAATTAACGAATACTTATTAAAATTGCTTATGAATTTCTTTATTAATTCAATAAATTACATTCCTTCTAAGTTTTCAATGTAGGTATTTAATGTGATTAATAAGTTTATGAAGTATGGGTTTTGTGATTATTAGGAAATAATATGTTTGTCTTGTAAATAAGTGAGGGTGATTGCAATACCAATAAAGTTCATGTTACGAAGATCCAAGTGTTTTATTGTTTCAAAATAATAAATGGTGTGTTTATTTATAGGTATCATTTCCACAATTTGAAGTTGGTGGCTATTGCAGGTATATTTAATAGGCAAGACAAGACTTCGTTTAACAATTGATAGAAAAGGTTCGAATATCAACAGTATTACTCGTCCGTTTGTATCTCTTTTTTGTAAACTAGTAAGTGTATACTATAACAAAAGATAGTAATTGATATAATTAATTACTATGGGGTAATCCAGTTAAAAACCACAATTCATACATGGTTTACGTTTATTACTTATTAAACAAATTATGAATTCATAATATTTAATAGGACCTACTTCCTGTTACCTGTCATATAAATAAAATTTTCCTTTTTGTTTCTTTCATTTGACATTTCAAATTATTGACAGAACGGACGCGTATTGCTTGTCATAAAAGTAAAAGTTGGCGGGTAGTTGATTTTTCTTTACTGCTTGAAAAATTATCATTATTACTGCTGTGATTATTATAAGCAGCAGAATTCTTCCAATAACGGGGTGATAACTAAAATTAAACATGATCGATCTGTTTATGCCCTTTCGGGCATTTTTGAAGTTTGAAAATGTGTGTACGGATAACAATGTGTTTCGTATGCACTATAAAGTGACTGTGATTATGTTACTTGTGTTCACGTTGTTGGTGACTTCGAAGCAGTTCTTCGGAGAGCCCATTCACTGTATGAGCGACAGCGAGAAGGACAGTGATAAAGACGCCATCAACAGCTACTGCTGGATCTACGGCACCTACACTCTGAGAAGCCGATTTGTCGGTCAGTATTCATTATATTATAGTTAAATCAGATTAAATACCCTTTTAATCCACGTTATATCAGGACCATACATAAAGGCCTGTGTGAAGGAACAAACTTTTGTACGATAGTTAAACGCAAAGTTTTCAATTAGAATTTCAAACGAGATACGTTAAAGCTCGCGGTCGATTTTGAAGAATTTTGATGAAACACCTAAGCATTTAAAAAGAATTAGTACCTACAGTAATAAAATCTTAAACAAATATGTTTTGCATCAAATTAAATAGGTGTGGAAGGCAAGCACATGGCCTACCCAGGTGTGGGCCCCAACAAGTCTGAGAATGATGAGCAAATCAAGCACACTTACTACCAGTGGGTGTGCTTTGTGCTGCTCGGCCAGTCTGTCATGTTCTACACTCCAAGGTACCTGTGGAAGATCTGGGAAGGAGGGAGACTCAAGGCTCTGGCTTCTGATCTGAGTAAGTATTACTTTATGACCAGAACATACTGCATAGCAATAGGCTCCCTTTATAATGCATGGAACTTAAAACAAGTAAAAAAGTGGGACTGACATTTTAATATCTGCTTTTCTACCTATCCTTCTTAAAAGAATAAGAGAGGTAATTTATAGTGGAATGAATGTGAATTTTACAGTTATGAGGAAAATGGAAGTAAAAGTGATACAAATAAAGTTCTACCTTTGTTCATTAATTTGCCTTATTCATATCTTTTATGTTTATAAATAATTTATTAATTGTAGGACTTGTACATGTAAACATGATAATTTTTTAGGTAGCCCTGTGGTAACCAAGGACTGGTCAGAGTTCCGGCGTGGAGAGCTGGTCTCCTACTTGAGCTATACCAACATACATACACACAACATGTATGCCCTGCGATATGCCTTCTGTGAGATACTCAACCTTATCAATGTGGTAAGTAAACCACACACACACACACACATTATCGATTTTGTAGAATATTCTCGCATATTTGTTTTTAGACTTGAAATAGTGAGCCCCCTAATAAACTGCTGAACAAGGGTTTCAAAGAATCCTTTTGGATTTTAATTCCACCAGTGTATGAAGCCCTTGCATAATTTGGATTTATAGTGCTATTATTGGGTCAGTCAACTCACATAGGAGATCTACATAGCTGAATAAAGGCCTAGTCTTTATTCAGCTATGTAGAAATCTCATTTATAATTACATACCTATTGTGAATACTAACTAATCTGTCTTTTATATCGTTTTTATTTGGTTGCACATTTGCACACTGCACACAAATAAGTTGAATTTGAATGATAACTTTTGCTATTGAAGAAATAATATGCACTTTTGTTATGAAATTCATGCAGCATGCAATAAGAATTATTATCATTAAAAATTATCACTTTCAATATTTCCAGGTTGGCCAAATATTCCTGCTGGACATATTCCTGGGTGGTGCATTCCGCAATTACGGTGCAGCTGTGGCGGCGTTCACGCACACCCCGCGTGTTCCAGCCAACATGATCGACTTTGCATCTGTCAATCCTATGGATCAATTTTTCCCCAAACTTACCAAATGTTGGCTCCGTAGTTATGGTCCTTCAGGCACCTTGCAGATTAAAGATCGCCTCTGTGTTCTCCCTCTGAACATAGTCAATGAGAAGATCTTTGTGATTCTCTGGTTCTGGCTTATAATTTTGGCTTTTGTTTCTACTTTATCGGTTCTGTTTCGTGTTCTTGTGCTTTCTCTTCGCCCTCTCCGCTCACTAATGATTGCCGGTCAACTGAGATATGTGAAGAAAAGTACGGTATCGCGTATTGTGAAGAAATTTGGTTATGGCGACTGGTTCATACTGTACTTGTTGGGCAAAAACATGAACCCTATCATTTACAAGGATTTGATCGTAGAACTTTCCAAAGAATTAGACCATAAGACTGTTATGGTCTAAGGCCAACCTTTAGTATTATAACATGAATACTTGTGAACTGTATCTAAAAAATATTCACGTTTTAATGACCTCCTGGGCACTACTAAACCCAGACTGTAAGGGTTTCCTTCCAGTCTGCGTGGCAAACTGCCATTTGACTGTTTCCAAAATTCAATTCAATTTAACTTCACTGTTATATATAATGTGATTTAATACATTGGTAGTTCACTTGTATCTTCACTTCCAAAACTGTTCATAGTATTGTATAAGTATACAACTAAGAAAAAGTGCCTTCATTGATATTACATATTAAAATTAATATCTAATTATTATTTTTATTTAATATTCTTGTTAATTTGTGATTAATGAAAACATTTATAAATATTTCTTGTAGAAAGAAGTTGATGTATGTGATTATATAATTTTTATTTTGTTTCTAAAATGTAAGAGGAGAAAAATTTAAGTTTGTTTTTGCACAATTTTTGTTTGTTCATGACACTAGACAAAATTGTTAAGTTTTTAGTAATTATATACTTATAATATTGTAATTACAGGGTATTTTTCTGTAGGGGTCACTAATGGAAATACTCTAAAGGTTGTTATTATTTAAATGTGTATTTATTTAGTAGAAAATGCCAATAAGTACATAATACTATGTATCTCTTCTTAATTGTAAGATGATAATTATTGCTCAATATAATAATAAATGTGTAAAACATGGTGTTTTGTTTGATTATTCACATAATCGAAACATTTCAGTTACAATTCAATTAATTTGAAGACTATTGAGTTAGGGGCTAGGAATTCTAATAAAAGATTGTATTCTTGTAAATAATTATTTACTTTTATTTACTTGCACATACTTCTATGAAAGGTAAGAACAACAACAGAACGAAACAAAAACATAAAGTGCCACCTGGCAGAACTATTCAAAAACTAAACACTGTAAAGCAGCCAGTGTTATATTTTATTAATTCAATACTCCCACTAAAATATAACACTCTTCAAACAATAAACATATTTAAAAGAAACTATTCAATACAAAACAAAATATTATCTCTTAAAGTAATAAAAACCTGAGTTGGTAAAGTCTTAGTGAAAATATCTGCCAACTGACTTTTACTAGGAACATACTTAATTTTAATCAAGCCCAACTCAGCCTTCTCTCTTATAAAATGATACTTAATATCAATATGTTTAGTTCTTTTATGAAAGACCGGGTTATTTATTAGTTTGATTGCACTTTGGTTATCAACTAGTAAAGTTACACATTTATAATCCTCACCTAAATCTACCAGAAGTTGTTGCAACCACAATACCTCTTTGGCAGCTTCACAGGCAGCAACGAACTCTGCTTCCGTAGTAGAGAGAGCAATGGTCTTTTGTTTTTGACTGGACCAGGTAATTGGACCACCATTCATTATAAAAATATAACCCGTTGTAGACTTACGAGTATCAATATCACTAGCAAAATCTGAATCTGAATAACCAACTAAATCACCACCCTCTCCATACTTTATACATAAATCTTTAGTATTAATTAGGTATCTTATGACACGCTTCACAGCATTTACATGTACTTGACCAGGGTTGTTTACATATCTACTTAATAGACTCACAGCATAAGAAAGATCAGGTCTTGAAACAGAACACAAAAATAATAATGATCCTATAGCTTCTCTATAAGGAAAATCTATGATACCTTCATCAACATTTTTAGTTACAATTACATTTGGATCTGCTGGAGTACTTACTGGATAAGCATTTGACATACAAAATTTTTCAATAATTTGTTCTATGTAATCCCTCTGGTGAATATAAATATAATCATTTATTCTTTGAATTTCCATGCCCACATAATATTTTAAATTTAATAATTTTATTTTAAAAGCCTGCTTTAAATATTCTATTATCTCTTGAATAAGCAATTTACTAGCAGATATTACAAGAGCATCATCAACATTATTATTAAAAATATCTTAATATTATTAAACTTCCCAACAAAAATACAGTTATCAGCTTGAGATTGTACAAAGCCATATTTTAACAGAAAATTACTAAATCTTTTGTTCCAACAACGAGGAGCCTGCTTCAAGCCATACAGGGATTTATTAAGCTTTAATACACAATTTTTATTTAACTTAACTCCCTCAGGTACTTCTATAAAAATATCTTCTTCTAAATAACCATTAAGAAAAGCTGTTTTTACATCAAATTGTTGAATTGCTAACTTATACTTAGCTGCAATAGAGAGAACAATTCTAATAGAATCATATCTAGTTGTAGGAGAGAATATTTCTTGATAGTCAACATCTTTGATCTGTTTGAACCCTCGTGCGCATAAGCGAGCTTTATAACGTTTTTCATTTTTCTCATTCTTCTTAATTGTAAAGACCCACTTTGTAGTAAGCGTTCTCTGATCAGATCTTTCTATTACACTCCATGTATTGTTTTCTTTATGTGCAGCCAATTCCTCCTTGATAGCTTGACACCATTCCTTTTTCTGTGGGCTTTGTAATGCATCATTATATGTTTGAGGCAATGACAACTCAACCAGGTTCGCTTCAAACCGTCGATTATTTCTTGGTCTCAATGTTATGTTTGAGTGTGATATATTTTCTATTTCTTGAGACGGCTCATATGCTGGGTCTTCACTGTTACAGCTCATCAAGCTTTCATCAGACTCATTTTGATTTGTTTCATTTAATTCATTAACTGCATTCACTGATTCTGTTTTATTATTTTGCACAGCATTATCTTCATCATCCATAATACTAATCTGTGCAATATTCTTCCTTATTTCTGTAACCAAATGTTCATCAAAAATTACATTCCTAGATATTTTTATGGTTTTTCTATCTGTATCATACATTCTGTAATTGTTGTTGTCATAACCAACTAATATCATTTTTTTACTCTTCTTTTCAAACTTTGTCCTCAACTGATCTGGTACATGAACATATCCAACACTGCCAAACACCTTCAAATGACCTATTTGCGGTTTAGTACCATACCATAATTCATATGGGGTTTTGCCTGGAGTCTGACTGGAAGATGTTCTGTTCAATATATAAACAGCACATTGTACTGCTTCGGCCCATAGATATAGTGGAACATCTCTCGCATACAACATTGAACGAGCACTCTCCACTATTGTTCTATTCTCTCTTTCAACACGCCCATTTTGCTCTGGTGTGTACGGAGCAGTAAGCTCATGAACTATTCCTTCTTTCTCCAAATAATCTTTAAAAACATTGTTCACATATTCTTTTCCATTATCAGTATGCAATGTTCTAACACCATGCATATATTTATTCTTAACAATATTGTTATATTTCTTGAATACTTCCATAACATCATTCTTATTTTGAATAAAATATACATACCTGAAACTTGTAGCTGCATCCTTGAACAACAAGAAATATCTCATGCCTTGAACTGAAGCTTGACTCATCGGTCCACAGACATCACTATACACCAAGTCCCCAGGCTGTAGTTCTCCTCGTGTAGATTTATGAAATGGAAACCTACACTGCTTTCCATATGCACATGCCTCACAAACAAAACTTAGTTCATCATTTTCATTAATTTTTAGACCTTCTACTGTATTATTAACAAACATATTTTTAATTTGTTTTGTATTAATATGTCCTAAACGTTCATGCCATATTTTTATATCACTTTTATTATTTTGAACTAAGTTACAAGTATTTGAAACTATTGTTTTTATATTCAACTCATACAGATTATTTTCTCTTATTTTTGCACTCATCACTATGTCATTTTCTTTATATATCAAAGCGCTTAAATCCTTCTTTATAATAGAGTAATTTTGTCGTATAATAACTCCTTCTGAAAATAAATTCCTCCGTAGACTAGGAACATATAATACACTATGCAGTTCACTGTTTATCCACTGTCCATTAACATATCTCTTTATCAACACTTTACCAATGCCGGATACTTCTATAGCTTGTTGATTTCCTAATGTTAACGATTTCTGATCACATTCAAACAGCTCCACAAAGAAGTCTTTTCTGTAGGTCATGTGTGCAGAGGCGCCACTGTCTAATATCCACGAATTGTCTTCTGTTTTGTTGCAATCGACTTCCACATTAAATGCCAAGTTGTCAGATGGTTGTGTAGACTTTCTGTACTTATTTTTATTCGGAAAACGACATTCCTTTGCAAATGCCCTCTTTTTCCACAGTTATAACACTCAAATCTGTGTTTAGTGGTTTTGTTTTGATTCACACTACTCCCACTATGTCCAGATTCAATTTGCTTCGTTTGTTTCTTCCAACCTTTGTTGGCAACAAGGAGAGCTGTCTCTTGCTCTTCCACAGACACTAAACTAGCTTCTTCATCTAATAAACGAGCCGTCAAATTGTTGAGAGTTTTGTTGTGTGGGATCCAATGACATCCATGCTTGGCGCAGATATCTATACTTTAAGGGCAATGTTCCAAGTATTTTTGTAATGATAGCCATCTCACTAACATTCTCGCCACTTTCTTTCAACTGCTTTGCTAAGGTTTCAACTTTAGAAATATGTTGAGCCACACTGTCACTTTCCGACATTTTATATTGATAAAACTTCTCATGAATTAGCATTTTACATAATTCACTCTTTTGCTCATATATAGACTCAAGTTTTGTCATTATTTCTTTAGCAGTTTCACAGTTTTCTACTAATGTGATTTGCTTGAAATCCATAGAAGATGTTAATATGTACATCGCCATACCATCATTTTTCAACCACTCTTCTGCCTTTGCTTCTGGTTTTGGCTTATAAATATCTATTCCTTTTGCCTTCAGAGCACATTTCATTTGGAATTTCCACTGTCTAAAGTTATTTCCATCAAATTTTTCTAAATTCATTCGTGTCGGATCCATTTTGTTTGACGTTACAAATCTCGACAATGAATTTTTTCTTATTCACGTTTTCTTTACCTTATGTTCACTAGCAGAGTATCCTGGGCCCATAACCTATTGAGTTAGGGGCTAGGAATTCTAATAAAAG